TAAATTTGTTAGTCAATGTAAAGAGGTGCCCGGTTACTCCGCTATTACTTTTTAAAGTGATGTGTGTGCAGTCTACTATTACATGATGGTCACTATCGATTATATTGTTAAGTGGAGATCCATTTTGAATGCCGGATTGCACTAAAGTAATTGAGTTCAGACCCGTGTGTAGCAGGTGAAATGATTGAGTAACAGATGGAATAACTAGGCACATTAAGATCCCAAGACGGTGACGACAACGAGAACGTTAAAAAAGCAATAAGTTTAAGAAGCAAAACAACAAATGTTACAACTTAGCACGTGCAGCTCACTTTTTTGCAGATGTCTGCACGCGACTACGACATGAAATTGCCTAATTTTCTGTTTTATGGTACGTAGACGAAAACAAACGATAAGGAAGTGTTATTTCTCTTTGTTAGGAATTCAACTCCAGAAGTGTCCCCCTGTATTTGACAAACTAAGTGAGTTGGAATAATCGCGATGAAGATTGAAAAAAAGGCGAGTTCTTTTATTAAACGACAGTTTCGCCGCCATCGCTGCCCTCGGACCTCGAGGTTTGCTAAAAGCTGTTGCAAAACAGTTGTCTTTGAAACACTTGTGTTTGATCGCATGATCTGATGATGTTCTAATTAATACTCTTTCCTAAGGGATACTGTTAATTTCTCTCCGTTACGGTTAACAGACGTCAATGAAGAAGAAAAAGTAGTTGTTTCGAAAGGTTAAAGGTTAAAGAATTTCCCGTATCTTTTTTTTCCACCTAAACGACTGAAGTACTCTTGCGAAAAATTTGTGGCTGTTTTACGGCTAAGCGGTTAACCCCAATAAGACCCTTTCGTATGCCTCGAGAGTAATCTAAAGGTTCACTTGAACAACTACCTCGCCGTGGATTATGTTTTTGGGGGAATTTATTGGTGGTTCAGATATCATGCGATCGGCAAATGGAGTAATACGACTAATACAGATTCCCGGAAAAAAAAAAAAAGCACTAAACAATAACCGCGTCATGAGAGAAATCCTAACGAACGAGTTCTTGCCGTCTGGCAGTGATTCACGGAATCTTGTAATTGTCATCTGAGGTGTCGGTCCCAAATCCGACATCGCCGTGCTTGAAAAGCCGGCATTCGAGTTGCAAAAATCCGATATCCGAGTTACAAGCCCTAGGGTACTACTTTACAAAGGTTTATACAACGAAGGAGGCTCCGCCTGGAGGTCCAACCCCTTACCCTCCTCATTTTTGACGGGAAAGGTACCCATTTCGTATACCCTTCATTGTCAAATGGTGTCCCATTCACATACCTTCTAACAGTACGTCTTTCTGTCATTTTATGTAGCGTTTAATAATTAAAATGATACAGCCTTAAAGGTACGTCGGTTAGGAATATTTTAGTTAAAGGCCTTTCTAAACACCAAAATCAGTGACAAGTTTCCCTATACCCCTTCCAAATACTTTAACTCGTGAGATTCCTACCCTTTCATATACCTGAAGCCTGAAAAAGGTACCCTTTTGTTCATAGGAAGTATACTACCGAGGTTGTATTAATAAGCTTCCCAGTACCTTTGGGTCCTTGTAAGCCAAAACTTTATGTGCATGACCAACTTCTTTGGGAGAAATAACGGTAAGAATTGCACCCACGCGTGACTTGCAAATTGAAAGCAACTACTAAAATAAAGCTTGCAATAATTTAAAACCAAGCTCTATCTCAAAAAATAAAAGGATACAGCGACTTTCATTTTTTAACTAAGTTGTTAAACCCCATATCATACCATTTCACAGTTATCAATAAGTGTCTAGACTTTCAAAACAGTCCTTCGTCCTATTTAATAAGACGCGGAACTAAGAGAGGAAAAAAAAAACTCGTAAAGAGGAACTTGTGAGGTCGACTTCTAGCAAGTTTACTAAGTGTCCTAAGCTACAACCAGTTGCAAAAATGTTGAGACACTCCAACGAAAAACCAGCCTTTCTTACTTCAAATCTCTGCTAGTCACCCTCCTGTGTAATATAATACTCACCTCCCTCCTACCCTCAATTTAAAGTAACGCAAGACTTGAGCTTTATTTGCATCAGTAACCAACGAACTTTTTCACCGGTTTCACCGATAAATTCAAGTAAAACGGACAAAAATTTACCTGTTACAACTTCCAAACCCAATTTTGTCACCTTCTTCGCTTAGGGACTGTCATTTATTAGATGGCGGGGGGAGGAGGGGAGGGCTGGTGCAATTCTTTTTTTCCAGGTGAATTATTTTATGCCCTTCCCCAATTTCCTGCAGACAAAAATGTAACCCTCCCCCTTGTATGCCCCAAAATAGTTATGACCACGCTAAAAGATATGACAGGGATTTTTAAAAGAGATCAACTTTTACCTTGTGATGAAGGGAGGCGCCAATACGACAGTGAGGAACAGGTATCTAAGATCACCTCACGCATTGACGCAATATTGAGCACGAACAATCCTGGTGCTGCTGGAAAATTTCACACGACTGGTTATGTTCTTGTCCCAGCTGATCAGTTAATACTGAGGGCGAACATTATGAAGCTCAGTGAGTTACTAGAGAACATATCAGACATGATGGGGATAGACGCATTAAAGTGCTACTGAAACGAAAAATTAGTCTGCGTTGCAGCCGGCCCACGTACTCGTCTAAACCATTTGTATAGTCTATACAGAAGGTTTAGAGTGTCTGCGACGCAGGCTACGAAAAATCAGTCTAGCAAAAACTAGCAATAATTATTAGTTTGATGTGTAATTAACCCGGAAAATGGTTTTGACGGCATAAAAATGATCTTATCGGTAATTTTTTCCAACGCGAACATGGCCAAATTGCCGCAGAAAGTGCGTCCAACGGCTCCTTAATTAAATATGCATATGACGTCACATGGTTGACACATCGTTCGCGGGAAAGTTTCTCTTCACACAAATGACTGCAATGGCGAACAGCGGACGGTAGCCAGGAAAAATATGCTGTACCAACAACACTTATATTCACCTAAGATTTCTATGCATATATATAAACCAAAAAAACTCAATGAGTGAAATTTGTGTGGACTCCGAGACTGGATTTTTAGCTCACCGAGTACAGCTATCTGTGCTCCGAAGCTTGCTTCGAATCGACTGAGGTTAAGGACTTAAATGCTTGTCGATAAAAGGGAAGAATGTGGTTTTAACTCCAAGTAATCAAGCAGCAGGGAGTTAAAGGAGCGAGTTTTAGTATGAGGATCCGTTCCGACTGTTCACTTTGCAAATAGACCCAAATGATCGATATCAAAGGACACAGATCCAAAGTGGTGAGTGTCAAATCATGTCTTGTTATGTTGCCTTCACTGCATGCTCTTGTCGTTTAATACTTCTTCATCGTTATTATAAGAGAAAATCATCGAAATTATTGGACATGCTGGAGCGTATTATTATCCAGATTTCAGCAATTCCCTTTTATTTTCGGAAATTCTCATTGTAGAGGTTTTTCAAATATTAAATCTCTCTAACTTTTATGCAGATTATCACCCGTTGAAGGCTGCTGTATCTTGACGAAATACATTTAACTTTCCTTCCTTCATTAAAGAGAGAAATAACAGCAATTCCCTCCCTCCTAAAAATATTGAGAACATGGTCTAGAATGTATTTTTCCAGGTAATATCTATCCATCCCCATAAAAGCTTTAAAATGGTTTGAAGATACTCCCTTACTATACCGGTCAAAGGATTCAAGTCTAACTCTAGACAATTTCTTATAAAGGGAGTATGGATTATTCCTGAACAAGATAGCAACCATTTCCTCTGGTAAAAAAAGAAAAACTGACATAAGAAGCAACTGTATACCCTTCAGGTGAGGTTACAAGAAAGGCCGGCTTTGCAAGTAATGATAACATGGACATGTTCGCATGTCACCCCTTATACTATGGTCATTGACTCAGGTTTTTTTTAAAATTAGGTTTGTAAAACTAGGTAAAAAATATACCCCCTCCGCCCACACAACTCCCCAAGAAATGCAAGTACAGTTGTAGCTTAGTTTATTAGTGTAATGAATGTTTTGGTTGCAGTTGATGTTCAAGTCGTATCACTCAAAGACTGGTAATTTGATAGGAGGAGAAGAGTATCCTAAATCGTTTGATGAAGATGTTATTACAAGGCTTGATGAAGCTAAAAAAAGAGTAAACAGTGAATTGAATTATCTTAATGAGATACTTGATCATCTCCCTTAAGTCTCTATATATTCCCCTCAGTGGTTTACCCGTAGTTAGAATAAGCGCCGCTCTCGTATAAGCGCCACACCTATAACGGGGAAAATGAAATAAGCGCCGCGGCGCTTAATGGATCATTTAAGGTAGTGGTCCACGGTCAAAAAAGTCAAAAAGGTTGCATTAAAAGAACGTTGACTAGCACAAAGGTAAAAAATAAGTGGAATTCTTATAAAGAAATTTTCTGATTATAGTATATGATCGATACGATTATTTGCAATAAACGATTATGAAATCTCAGGCGATTTCCCAACTCTGGTTAATGATCTTCATGCATCCAAGCTGGGTGAGAAATGAGTGCTCGCTTGACCTGGTTCTGAATAGTTAATACACTGTATTTACTAATTACAAGTGATGGTAACAATTCGCAATGTTGGCGTGGTCAGGACCTAGCCTCTTTAGGTCAATAGCAAGAGCACGTTCATGATATTCCTTCGCGCCCTCAAGGGCACCTAAATCAAGGTGAATACGACCCAATTGATGATAACAACTCGCAACGTTGGCATGGTCAGGACCGACCCTCTTTAGGCGAATAGCAAGAGCACGCTCATGATATTCCTTTGCGCGCTCAGGGTCACCTAAATCGCAGTGAATACAAGCCAAGTGATTGTAACTAACTGCAACATCCACGTTGTCAGGACCGAGCCTCTTTAGGTCAATAGCAAGAGCACGCTCATGATATTCCTTCGCGCGCTCAGGGTCACCTAAATCATGGTGAATACGACCCAAGTGATGATAACAACTCGCAACGTCGGCATGGTCAGGACCGAGCCTCTTTAGGCGAATAGTAAGAGCACGCTCATGATATTCCTTCGCGCGCTCAAGGTCACCTAAATCGTGATGAGTATATCCCAATTGATGATAACAACTCCCAACGTTGGCATGGTCAGGACCGAGCGTCTTTAGGTCAATAGCAAGAGCACGCTCATGATATTCCTTCGCGCGCTCAAGGTCACCTAAATCGCGGTGAATACAAGCCAAGTGACAGTAACTAACTGCAACATCCACGTTGTCAGGACCGAGCCTCTTTAGGTCAATAGCAAGAGCACGCTCATGATATTCCTTCGCGCGCTCAGGGTCACCTAAATCATGGTGAATACGACCCAATTGATGATAACAACTCGCAACGTTGGCATGGTTAGGACCGAGCCTCTCTAGGCGAATACCAAGCGCACTCTCATGATATTCCTTCGCGCCCTTAAGGTCACCTAAATCGTGGTGAGTACATCCCAATTGATGATAACAACTCGCAACGTTGGCATATTCAGAACCGAGCGTCTTTAGGTCAATAGCAAGAGCACGCTCATAATATTCCTTCGCGAGCTTAAGGTCAGCTAAATCGTAGTGGATACGACCCAAGTGATGGTAACAATTCGCAAAGTTGGCATGGTCAGGACCGACCCTCTCTAGGAGAATACGAAGCGCACGCTCATGATATTCCTTCGCGCCCTTAAGGTCAACTAAATCGTGGTGAGTACATCCCAATTGATGATAACAACTCGCAACGTTGGCATGGTCAGGACCGAACCTCTTTAGGTTAATAGCAAGAGCACGCTCATGATATTCCTTTGAGCGCTCAAGGTCACCTAAATCGCGGTGAATACAAGCCAAGTGATTGTAACTAGCTGCAGCGTCGGCATGGTCAAGACCGAGCCTCTTTAGGTCAATAGCAAGAGCACGCTCATGATATTCCTTCGCGCCCTCAAGGTCACCTAAGTCTTGATGAACTGATGCCAAGTGACCGTAGACGTTTGCAGTACCAACATGGTCAGGACCGAACTTTTTGAGGTATATTTCGAGAGCGCGATCTTCATGCTCTTTTTCACTGTTAAGGTGACTTAAGCTCTGGTGTATATATCCTAGGTAACGGTGACTAATTGCAACTTCAGTATCGTCAGGGCCAAGGATAGTTAATTTGGTGGTTAATGCATATTCATGGTACTTCCTTGATATGTGAAATTCACAATGTTCAGTACAAATCTCGCCAAGTTCAATTAAATAATCCGAATTAATGTTGTCTGGCCTTAGTGTCCCCTTGTTGTCGTGAGTTGTGTTTTTTTCGGAACAGAGATTCAATAACTATAATTAAGGCCTTTAAATGTGGGATCAAGTGTATGGTGTCTGAGTACGATTTACTGTGTTCTGGAATAGCAGTTATAAACTGGCTAAATGATGCCGCTGCTGTATTGATTATTTGACTTGACCCTTGCGGTTCTTGGTGATCTTTCATTACGGTTTTGATAGTATCATGCACAACCTGATGAACACGAAGAAAAGCGCCACTTTCGTCCTCTTCAAATACAACCAGTGAACACCTTTTGAGATTTACGCAAATGAATTCTTTGTCCGCGGCTTGTTCATCCACTCTGGAAATGTAATTGAACACGATGTCTAAGCTTAAGGGATCTGCTGAACACAGAGAAAGCAAAGCGAACGTGTGACCGACAATTTCGTCAGACATCAGCGCATTTTTAACAGCAAGTGTTGTTGCTGCGGTCATGGACTTTGGGTAACATAGGTTGCTTTGCGACAGAAATTTTTCAGTGCTGCTCCGCTGTCCTTTTTGTATCTTCTTTAAGTAGTCGACCCACCTGAAGTTTGAAGTTGCCTTGTTTTGCCGAACCTGTTTGACATAAGTTGCAGCGCTTGCTAATGCAAGAGGCTGGTAGTCCAACTTCAGGGTGACTTCCTTCACCATCTCGCTGTCAGAGAATCCAGAAAGCATCTCTAATAATGAATAAGAATCGTCAGCGTCCATATCCCTGCTTATCGAGACGTGATTAACGAAGGTGATCGTTGAGGGGATGGAAGAGACGTCCTGGCTTGTAACTAGGATCTGGCCATTTGACCATTTCCCGTTTCCACGTTCTGGAAGATGATCATGTACCCAAGTCTTACTAAACACGTTGTCTACTATGAGAAGCCAAGAGGTGTACAACCCGATTCTCGCCGATATTAAAGTTTTCAAATTTGAGATCTCTCCTCTGTTTTGACATCCTTCGAGTTAATTGTGTTTGTAACTCCATATTCAGGACACTTTACCTGTCGAGCCATTAAAGCATACGACTCCAGAAGTGAATCAGGACTTGCAGCATTTAATGTCATCACACATGGAGTATAAGATGGAATATCTCTGGCCTCATCGAAAAACCGCTTAGCTATGAGGCCAGCCAACTGTGATTTTCAACTCCCGGGATTCCCAGAGATGTACAAGTAACTGAGCTCATTTTTATTGGCCTCTTTTAACTCTTTTAGCTGTTTTGTTATCTCGATTACCTCGCGATTGAGTCCTGTGACAACATGTGAAGGCTTAGGAGGAAGATTGCAAAAGGGGAAAATTTCTTTTTCCAGCTGATCTTCAAGGACGTTTCGCAGGGGCACCCAACGACAATTTTCGGAAAATTATCTGTTCGGAAGAATTTTCGGATCATTTTCTGTAAAATTTCTTGCTTGACTGCTTCTCCTAGGATTTTCGGACATCAAAAAAATGGTATAATTGCCCATTTTTAACGGATTTTGACCCTAAAAAGGTCACCTAGAATTTTCGGGAGCCTTTTTTCTGGCTGAAATTTTTGGAAAGGTAGATTTTGATCCCTATAATTTTCGGATCACTATACTTTCAGCTAGGAAATCCGAACAGATGAAAAATTTTTAGGGGATAAAAATAAGCCTTTATCTACTGTTTAAATACTAAAGTACGTTCAACAATGCTATGTTTATGTGGTTTTGAACTATATTCTCGTTGGGTGCCCCTGTTTTCGTTGTTGTTTTTCTTGTCGAAGCTCCTGTTGAAGATCATCAACCTCTTTCAAAACGAGACTCAACTCCTCCGTGGGAAAATACGTCTGATTCTTGACGTCATCAACACGAGAAGTACAAAGGCCAAGAGCTTGAAATGCTCCATGAACTTTACTTATGGTATTCTGAAAGTCTGCATCTACCAAGGAGCCACCGGGCATGTGAGCGAATTCTTCGTTCCTGAATTTTCTTAGATCGTCTAAATTTGTCTTGACTGTTGGGCTGAGACTGCTCCCGATACAATCAGAATAAAGAATAGCGTAAAACAGCATGGTGCAGTCCCATTTAGCTCTATCCCCATCGCGTATGGTCACCAATAGATGTGCGTTTTGTCTTTGGTTCCGCGGGGACTCACCGTTATAAAAATCCATCCCACTTTTAGGGTCATCTTTCCACTCCCCAAGTGTAGCTTTGTAGCGATTGTCACATTCTTGTTTGAGTAGAGACCGTAGACCTTCCGTTAAAATATCCGTGGTTACATAACAAATTCTGTAATAGTTTAGCTGTTCTTTAGTAAATTCTTGTGAGGCGGCCATATTTGGTGATTCCCTTTAAAGGGACTGGTTCACGATAATGCGCATGCGCGCCGTTTGTCTCTTCAGAATAAATTTGTCGGGTCAACACTAAATTCGAAATCGCCATTACCGGTACAATCATTGAAAATCCTTCGTTTTATTCGGACATCCGTCGCTTTGGCTGGTCTAGTTATACTTCGGTAGTTGTGATTAACGTGTGGTTGTGTCGTTTGACTGGTTACGTTTTAAGAAGACGCAAAAAATAATGTTTTGATCATGGAGGTTGAGAAGAGCATCGTGGCCGTCCGGCAACAGGACGTTCTCAAGAGTCTCTGGAGATAGAGAAGCTTAGCCTATCGATCTGGTATGGTTCTAGGAGTAGTGTGTGGCATACGAAAAGAATACACGACACTTGGAAAGTGTTTAAAGGCATGAGTTCGTTCAACTTTGATTTGATTTTTGACCTGTAGTTATACCGCAATAGGCCGCGCGATCTTCACCGATCTGGTACACTTGAAATGTTCCTTGTATCTTTACTTTTCGATCGTATATGTTTAAGAATTGATGTTTTTAAAATAAATTATTGCCTGAATATTTTGTTCATAATCTAGTTTCTTTATGTGTGCTACTCGATAACATTTGTTTTGCGGAACACTGACCCGATGCAACGCGAATGAATTTGTTCATTTGCTGATAAGCAATTGAAATTTATGCTCAGTTAAGGATAATCTTTATACTCATACGTTGTGTGTTTTTGTCACCGGTCCGGCGCTATTTGTAGGTATTTCTGGGTTTATATAAGGCGAACTGAGAGAACAGTAATAAGATGTTTGTTTACAAATTTTGTTTGCCGATCGGTGACTGTTTTGTTAGCGTGGGTACGACCTCGTAAAAATACACGTTGGTAAATGTTTGTTTCAAAGCAGGACAGGGCTGTAAATCTTATTCTTATCGGCTGCAACATATATCTGAGGAGTAGCAAAGAATAAAATTGAATTATGGGGATAAATAAAATCAAACCAAATGCCCGGAAATACTCTCGCGTCGCGAACAATTAATTTGAATTTTGTAAATTTACTTGCGTGCATCTAACTCGCTTCCGATTGGTTGAAAAACAATCAGCTACTGTCAGAACTCACACATGCGCATTATCGTGAACCAGTCCCTTTAAATGTGGCTGGTACCATCTTTTGAAAAAAAAAATTCGATTTTGTTAAAATAAAACTTTTGAGCTTAAATACATGCGTTTTGTAGACGTGGCAGTGAAAGTAGCTGTGGATGAAAAAATGTGAGCGTTATTAGACCGCAAAATGATTAAGTTTTAGTGCTTGGCTTACCGTTTTTGTTTACCCAGTTCACAAAAGGTTGCAACCAGTCTAACAACAAATTACTCTCGTAGGATAAGTTTAAAGATTTATTTCAAATCAAATATTGAACAAATACGTAACATGATCGGTATTATACTTAACATGATTCAGCAGAGAAATAAAACGTAACTAGGGTATCTAAAAGATAGAAATGCTGCGGCACATTCTGTTGATACTGGCATTAGTTAGGCAGTGGGACTTACAAGAATCAAAAATGACATTGAATGTCCTATTTACATGTTGGAAAGTACTAGAATAATTACTATCAGTCTATAGAAATTCGTGGAACGTTGTTTAGAAAATGATCAAGTGGTTATCAACTCTGGTTTTCCCACAGTAAATTGTAGGAAATAATAGAAATTCAGATCGTTTATCCATATATTTAATATACGGCGCACGATATTTTCTCTGGAAACACAATACTTTTCTTGCTGTTTGTTGCACTTTATTAAGTAACAGTTATATAGCTATATATTTATAGAAAACAACAACACGAAAAACGGGAAAAAAAAGAAAGAAGGAATAAACAGCACCTTCGATTCGGCCCGATTACACCTAACCACTACACCACAGAGACTGACCACGTAGTCGTTGGGAAAAGTCTTTCATTTTATTCATTTTCCATGAAACTTCCGCCGGCAAGATGATCGCCAGCCGCATTAACCGAGCTATTGACAGTGAAAAAACAATGTAAACGCATATTCCATGGCAATAAATGAATGAAAGAACATAATTATGCTTTTCAAAACGCCGATACACGTCCTCGTCTGCAAAATAGGACACAAAACATATGTTTTGTTACCTCGATTTCCGCTGTTATTTTGAAGCGAATGGTCAAAATCACATCCATTTTCGGCTCATACAGTTTCTTAAGAACTGCATTGCATGACATTTTCTCACTTTCACATCACCTTCTAGCAAGCTGGAATTTGTATATTCCCCGTGTTGCGGAGTCGAAGAGCAAATGCTCATCTGGGGCGAAGAATATCGTTTATTATTATTCATTCAAAATATTTTCCCGATTCTGATTGGCTAAAAGCGCACATTTAATTCACCATAACCAGTTACTGTTAACCAAATTTGGAAGAATACCGTTAACCGAGAAGACCTGGGAACGAGGTTGAGTTGTTTTGGTTGTGGAGTTGAAAAATGGCGGACACTTCTCTCGTTTCAAGAGTAAGAACTAGGCGAAAAAATAGCTAAAAACATGGCAAGAACAGCAAGAAGACAACTCGAAGGGCGACATCTGCTATTTGGAGAATATTTGCGGAGCTGGACAAACCTAAACGTACACTATCGAAGATGAACTTAACATCGATGGATCGATGCAGCTGCAGTTAAGCATGTTTTAGCCACGTTTTTAAACTACGAATTATTTTGAATAAATAATAAAACAATTATTGAATTCGGCTTTCGTATCTTATGAAGAATTATGGAGATCTCGGAGGATGTTATCCGTTGAGGCCGTACACCCTCCTCGATCTCCATAGTGATTCTTCATAATACTCAGCCTCATTCATTAATTGTTAATTAGGCCTAGGACTTCGTTATATAGAGGTTCGTTAAATCGAGGTTCCACTGTAGCTGTCATTTCAAGTACCGAAACTACATTGTAGTTACAATTATAGACATAATCTCCAGCAGACATTTTGTTGGAAAGCCCTAGCTGCAGAAAAAATCATTCTGCATAGCAGAGTTAAAATCGTCCTATAAATAATGACAACAAAAAACATGATGAACTCCGCAGCAAAACCAAAACAGAAGTAATGTAGAAAAAATAACTGAAATAAACGTGAGAGGAACTCGACATTAAAAAGTGCAGAAAACATTTGTGAAAATGCCAATAAAATCTGAGACATTAGAATTATTGAGCGAACGAGAAGGTCTTAAGACGCCCAGATAAAACAGATGTAAGCCCCTTATTAAACGCATCGGCAAAAACACAGCTTGTTGTTTAAACGCTGTCTCGGAAGAACCGGTATTTTGCATTTACAAGTGTCAACAATACACGGCCCTTAACCCATTCGATCCTGGAGATTTTGCCGAAAAACGCGTTTGAAGCTAGTCGAGTGGTTTTCTGGTCACTGTCGTGCTATAAAGAGCTAAAACTAACCACAAACCGGTTTACAGGTCGTACACTTCGCGGCCTTCTGATCCAGATGCAAAATATCAGCTTGCGAAGTTCGGGCATGCGCAGAAAGCGTTTAAAGGTGACACAGCAGTCTTGACTTTTACTTTCGCTTTCTCTCCTACCCTCTTTTTTCCCTTTTCTTGCCTCATTTTTTTCTCTCTTGCTGGGCATTTAGTAGGCTTCGTTTTGGTGGGAAAAGTTTTTAGGAAAGCTTTTAGGATCTTAGGATAAGGTCAAAGGAAAGGTAGATGAACAATGGAACAAGATTTTCATGGAGATTGTCACATGGTTTTTTGCTTCTTTCTCCTGTGTCCTTGACTGAATTGTGCTCATTCTGGTATGGTTTGAAAGATCTCTTCAGGCTGCACAAGTCAGCGGACAAAGTTGTCCTTGACAGGAGCCCATAACGGGCTCCTGCCTTGACTATTAAAACTGATGACGTCACAAAGGGTAGAAAGGACGTGGATCCGCACGGGCTGTTACAGGCGGTTCGGGGGCGAATGGGTTAATGAGAACGATAAAATCGATAAATTCAAGAGCAGCGATGGTTGTGAGTGTCGATTTCTATCGACGTTCAAATAACGTTCAAATTTGAATAATCGATAGTTATCGATTTATCGAACGGTTTTCCGATATCGGTTACTACAGTAGTCAGGCTTTTAATAGGCCCCCATAACGAAGAATTTGGCTTCTTTTTATCTGGGAAAAAAGGGGCCGAGAGTATCATAAAAATGTAACGCCGTCTCAGATATACGAGTGTAGCCGATAGTCTGATAGATGAAATACTCGAGGGGTTAGAAGAATTCTCGAAAGTTACAAAAACCTCGACTTCGTCTCCGATTTGCACGTTACAAACTGTCTCTCCAAAACCCTCGCATGTTATGCGAACACGGAAAATTATTTAAAGTTTCCTAATCGCAACCAGGAGCCGATTATACGGCTCCCGTCGCGGGGGTGAGCTAAATCGCGGGAACGTAAGCGCCATCGATCCAACATGTATTCCATAATTGCAGAATTGTACCGGTGGTTAGTGAGCTCTGCGTAAGCGATCTTTCAATCGATACATATAATAATAAATAATAATGAAAATAATGCTCGTCCCTGATTCATCAACTCAGCTGCAACTGCGGTAGTTGTCTCACTAGACAGTGATACCAAGAGAGCTTTATCCTCTCTCGTTGATACTTACAAAACTAGATTAAATCAAAATGCTGAAAATAAGTAAATTAAACATCATAACATAATTAAACAAAGGGGTTTTCGTCGCCCGAAAGTTCTATCTCATGGAGTCAAGAGCACATCGTTGTGAACGGGTCGAGCGAAGAGTGAAAGAAATAATATAAACACTTCCTGATTATAAACAACGGCTAACCAACTTGATTAAGTTGTCAATCTTAGCTATTGTAAAGCTGCATTTAAAAACAATTTTAAACGTATACATACCCCCCGGGCACAGACGTCTATGCTGAAATATGACATCGAATGGGCAGGTTGGGAAAGCCGAGGAGCCTTTAATAATAGCC